AACCTGTATCCCATAAAGCAAATAGAAGTAAATGAACCCAAACAGGAGCCATTTCATTCTCACCACGTCAAGTTCTGGCATCGCTTCCATCACCTCTACAAGCTTCTCTATCTTCGTCTTCTCTGTAAACATAAAGTCATCATCCACCCACAGGAAGTACTTGGTGGTTACCTGGGAAACAGCCAGATTTCTGCCTGCAAACCAGCCCTGAGAAAGGAAACATCTTTCACATCTTAATGCAAATAATAAGAGTTCTAATTCTGATTTCAGATTTATCCTTAAATTGTGGTGGTGACCACATGTGACTGCAGTCCATTTATTCTTTATTTATTTAGTTAGATTAGCAGCAATTTAACATGCTTGATACAACTAAGTAACACAAGTTTAGCTAAGAACATTTTAAATGCATCTGAAATCTGAATTATTTTTCTATCAGATTTTATAGAACTTTTACTACATAAAATTTCAAGAATTAAAGTAAAGTGACATATGTTCTAAATTTTGTATAGTCAGTTTAGTCCATAGGAATGTAGGTATATACCTGTGCTGGAGGCATAATGTAATGTTGAATGTTTTCTCCAGTAATGTGCTCCGTTTCAAAGCTGTCATCGGCAATAATAATTTTTACGTTGCTATAGAATTGCCGGATGCTGTCGAGCAACACTCTTAAGTGTGTATAGCGCTGGAAAGTCTTTGTTGTGATGGTGACTTGAGAGCTGATATCTGAGAGACAGAAGCAAACAAAGACTTATTTCAAGAAAAAGTAGGGTGATCTGCTACAGCATAGAATGAGTTATCGTATGACACTTTTCTCTATGTGCATCCTTCTCTCACCTATAGTGCCGTGGAAAAGTGTTTGTCCCCATTCACTACAATGAAATGTTTCAGATATAAAATGGAGTTTTTAAATGCTGATTTCACTTCTTAAGGGGGGGTAGACCTACCTACCTGCACTCATGCGAGTGATTACTGGCAATGGTTTTTTCTCCTCACTGTGGAGTAATTTTGTCCTATTTGTCTTCGCAGAATTGCTGTAATTGAGCTTCAAGGCATGAACTGGACAATACAGTCTCCCTAAGGATTTTCTGGTAAACCATGTTTGACTCTTGATATGATATTCCTTTACGATATCATATCATATGTTATTTTTACCCATATGAAAAGGAAATAGTAAAAACATATATGATTTACTCATGAAAGTGGCCACTTTCTCATTACTTTCATATATTTAAGTATACAAAACATACAAGTTTCATTATATAATTTTCATATAATTTTTCAAGGGATCTTATGTGTTTTCACTCTTGTATGCTTTTCATACAAGTTTCATACAAGACAGATAAAAACTTTATAAGATTTATATATATCTTTTCCATATGGGTATGCTTGATCTAACAGAATCCAAATCTCCTTAAAAATCAGAATGTTTGTCTCCTCAGTCCACAGAATATTTTTTCAAATGTCTTGGAGATCATCAGGACATTTTTTGGCAAATGTGAGATTGTGTTCTTTTTAGTCAGCAGTGGTTTTCACCTAGGGATTCTCAGATGATGCCATTGTTGCCCAGTCTCTTTCTGATTGTTGAATCATGAACACAGACCCTAACTTAAAGATAAGCAAGGACTGCAGTTCTTTAGAAGCTGATGTGGGTATTTTAGTGACCTTCTGGGTGATGTTGCATTTTTGGATAAATTTTGGTGTGGCTCCTGGAAAGGGTCATCACTAGTTCAAGCTTTTTTCATTTGTAGATAATGGCTCTCATCCTGGTTAACTGGACTCATCACTTTTGGAAAAAGCTGTGTAACCTTTCCAGACTGATTGATGTTATTGACATCTTCTCAAGTTTCTTTTTAAGATCTTTTAGTTTCCTTTTGTCAGACATGGGCTATGTCCCAATGCAGTGGCTGCATCCTTTGGAGGACCCCGCCTTTGCAGTCTATGTGGGCCAGGTCCGAGAAGGCCAGAAGTGCGATTCTGTGAAATGGGACGGCCTTCAGATTTGTGTCACTGTGTCGGTGGAGTTTAATAAACTCAGCCATCTGCTCCTTGCTTCTAAAATATAACAGAATATTGGAGTAAATTCTCAACCATCTCACACTTCTGTTTAATCAGTTTTCTGTTTGACGTTTATTCAGCTGTGTGAAAAAACTTTAATCTCAGCTAAACTGATTTACTGAGGAAGAAATAAAACACTGAAAAACACCAAACAATTACATTTTTAAGCAACAAGTGACGTATATATCATGTTTAACCTGAGTGGTGAAAGACTGCGCGAGGGTCTGAAAATGATGTGTCAGGAGTTCACTGTACTCGCCGGCTCTAGTTAGCCTTGACCACCCAGCCAGCTATCGAGCTGGTCGGTAACAGACGTCTCCGAAAACATCGGAGCACTTTTTGCAAATATGTGATGTCTTAATAAATCGAGCAGATATTTGAACTTGACACAGCTACATTCTCGCCTGAAAATTTGTTAATTTTATTTTGTGACCCAAAAAGAGTAATATTTTAAACTCTTCAGCCACGCTCCTCAACTAAGTAGCTGCCGCCATTGTTGGAAACTGGAATTGGCTGGGCCGCGCTATGAATTCTGGGATAGGTCTGGCCACAAAGGATACACCCAACCCATCCTTCCAATTTGGGGAAATGAAGGATGCATTTGTTGGCTGCATATGGAGCAGCCGTCGCTGTGATGTAATCAGCCTTAAAATGCGGCCTCAGGAGGACGCAGCCCCTGAATTGGGACACAGCCATGTTCTACTTAAGTTATTCCTGTATTCAGCAGGTGTGGTAGTAATCAGGCTTAGGAGTTGTTTCCAAAATTAAAAATGTGGTCAATCACAGTCAATTCATAATTTAACAATGAGGAGCAGTTACTTTTTCAAATAACACCAAAAGGGATTGGATCGCTTTTTTCAATAATGAAAGAATTCAACATTTAAAAAATTGCCTTTTGTATTTACCCAGATTATTTGTAAATAATGTTAACATTTATTTGATGATCCGCAACATTTAAGTGTGAGAAATATGCAAAACAATGTTCAATAAGAAATCAGGAAGGGTGCAACTACTTTTTGAAAGAACCTCTAGTGAAGAACCTTGAAAACAGAATTAAGTTAGAACCTATGTCAATAAAACATTTCATTCATTGGAGGAAGGCAGTCTAAGTTGGCCATAATTTCAGGAATCAGTACATGGTACCATCACAGAGATTTTTAATTCCTAGGAAGAACAAACTACCTGTTCCCATGTCATACAGGACTGGTACACGAGGCTGTTTGATGGCAATTGGAAACACAGCTTCATGCATTTCAAACTGGAAAGTGGCTAAAATCAGAAAACAAAAGCTTAGATTAAATACAGTGCAAAGGACACTCTTATATAAAGAGAAAAAACAAAAACAAAACAAAACATAGTCACTGATTTTCCAATAAACCTTAGAACAGCACACAAACTGCATAACTGGAAAACACTTTGTCTAATTTCACTTTTGCTTGGACGTGACATACGGAATTCAGAAACAATCAAATTTCATGCAAAACTTTATTTTCACATAGAATTTCAAATTTCTAGCTCATTTAACATTGCTTAAACACATACCAAGGTCTCCAGTGTTTATGTGGTAGTCAGTGCTGGTATAGGACACTTTGGCTAGCAAGTTGTTGAGGGTCACCAGGCTGCGAGACTCGATAATCAGTTTGTTCTCACCAGATCCTGTTAATTCAAACCACAAAATTTCACAACAGCATTAAAATGACTTGATTAATAGTTTAAGTTTTAAAGATAGATTATATAAAAATGAATTCAAACAAGGTCTATTTACGCTGCCTTTTTGCCTAGCTGAAATCACACTTTCTTATATTTTTTAAATAACAACTAAAGGCGGGACACATTTTCAAGAAAAAAAAAGTTGAAAAGCAGTGAGTGAGTTCACAACAACACTGAGAAAAATAAACAAACTGCTAGTGTTGTATGTTGCTTTCTCATACAACATAATTATGAAAAATAACACAAATGTACCAGATGTAACAAACATATCCAATCGATATATGCAAAGAAACTAGAACTGTCCATAAACCCCCGTAAATCAAGATGTGTAATAATGAGTTTAATACAGGGAAAAAGTATTAAACACAAGAAGAAAGGGAGGTGCAAGAAGGCATGGAAAGTCATGACACCAGCTGAAATCTATCAGTAATTAGAAAGCAACCCTGCCAATCCTCAGTACCAACTGATGGGCTATAAAAAGGTGTCGGTTATTGCTTGTTTCATAACACAAGAAACATCTGATGATTGTTAAAATCATTAAGTTCTCAAGACTTTGGTCAGTGGGAGCCGACTGTCAGGGGCAGATCTAGAAGGTTGGCATGCATATCGCAAAAACGGTAATTAGATTACCGTTACTTTCCCGTAGGAACGCTGCGTTACTGCGTTACTAAAACCGTGATTTTTTTGCGAGAATGTCTCATGACAGTGACGTAAGCGAGTGCGACGTTCGTGACAACAGCTGTGTGCAGATCAACAATGGATCATATATCGAGTGCAGAGAGAGTATGAGCGTGCAGCGTTTAAAGCGTGGAAGTACTGACCTTACTTTGAGTTTGATTCCATAAAAAGTGACAAAAACATTAGTGTCCGTTGTGCGTGGGAAGAAAACTTCTTTTTACAGCGAAAAAACCCCTAAACTTCCGAGCAAGCACCGAGTAGCTACGACGTAATGGGAAACTCACAGAGAAACTCGCGGATTCTTCCACTGACCGCTGCACACCTGCACCAGGGTAACCCTCCGCCTACCCCACTCCTGCTTTACAGGTGAAAATAGAGCAACAGGACCGCTAGTCTTTGACTTTATTTATTGCTGTGTTTTACTTGCATCTATTTGAAAGACTGAGAGTGTAAACACAAAAAAACAAATATCTTATGAGCTGGAATGTGCAGAAAATATGTTTAAATATTAAACAAATTTCTTCCAGTCAAAGAATGGTGCAGATAATTAAATTTTTGCTTGATGCATAAAGTTAAAAGATTAAAACTAATAAAACACGTTTTAAAAAGGGACTTTTCCATTTGTATGATGGATGATACAGAAAAAGTAGAACTGGGCTGAAAGATCTATCGCTTTATCAGGAGGCAGAAAATACTGACTTGATAACAAGGGAGACTGGGACATAAGGGGTGACGACACAACAGGATCTAGATAAACAAGGACTAAAGAATTTCAAAATACAAAGCAACTCAATCCTAACTAATGATAGAAACAACAAGAACTTAGCATGTCTTCTACAGTACATGTCAATAATGCAAAATGAACAGAAAATGCTGGGTCCCAGCCCATGACAAGACTGCTGTAAATGTTTTATATTTCATATTTGTAAGAGATTGTTTTTCTTCTCCACATGGCTGGAAAGTTCTGACCCTTGCTGCTAATCTGGCGAGTGGTCCAAAAACCAATCCAACAATGCCCCCTGTAACTGTCCCTGAGACAGTTAAAATAAAGTTGGTTATTTCATGTTTCTGTGATAGATTCATGCTTAATTTAGTTCATTTATTTACAAGATAAGATGATAAAAGTGTAACATTAATTAAAAAAACATGTCTAAAATATGTGATTACAAAATATGGGTTTGTTAAATATGTAAAGTGCTGTAAAGTTTGTATGAGGTAAAGTTTGTAATTGTCACATGAGTTTGGTTGAGAGCGCAACCATGGCATTGTGGAGCTAGCATGGATACATGGCTACAGATGCATTTACAGCCTCAACGTTAATGTTATTCTGCATGTGGTCCAAGAGGCGCACACGGTTTCATGTATATTGTTTGTATAATGTTGCCTACGTGTTCTACACTGGTAATGACAGGACGTTTTTGTTATATCCATTATTGTGCATTTTTTCTGTTCTGCTTGCACAAGACTGTTTATGGACACTGATATGAGAGACTGATAAGCTCAAAACATTTATGTTGTAAACTTTGTGTTTCTTCAGTTTTCACGGTGTCTGAAGACAATAAGAGTGAGAGAGAGAGAGAAATAAATTTCCGAAGACATCAGTATGATGCGTGGCCATTCTTTGTTGGACCCCTGTAGTTACACCCCCTACAATATAGTCACTTATTTACTAAATCTCACCTTTGATGATTGTCTGTTCAGGTGTAATATTTGTGGTCAGGATGCCTTTAGACACACTTAAAGATACCTACAAAAGAAAGGCCTGAATAAATTTAAAAAGCACTCAGAATATCCTATACAGTCGTCTACAAAAAAATAAACTGTGTATGAAATTATGCTATGTCAGTGTAACATTGGAATACCTATTGAAGATGGAAAGAAAGATGCTATTTTATACTGTACATCAGACCATAAGTGAGGTTTGTGTTTTTTCTTTCATTTATCCTAAAGCTGAATTAAAGTCAGCCCCACACATTGATCACAAAATCAGGGAATCAGGGCCCTTAATGTTTGAAATGTGTTCAGGAGGCATCTTGTATGAACCAGCCAACCTGTACAATTCATATTAGATGTGAGGGAGAAACACCAACCTTGTAGCTGCTTCTGTTTTCTGCATGCAGCCCTAAACCTGAAATTAAAATGACATTACTTTTACATTGTCCTTTTATGGGAAGACTCCATGACATGTTTTTGAAGCATAAAGGATCAACATGAATTCCTTAAAACCCCCATGCAACTTCTTGTCTGTGAATATGTTGGCTGTAATACAGATTTAATTTTGCCATCTCGTTTGCTGAGGTATAAGTTTGCTGGCCATTATCACTCTTGGTTAATTATCTTTTAATTATGTTTTAAATGTAATTATACATGGAAAATTCCTGAAATTGCATGTTAATTTGACTCACTAATGACTCTAATTCAGAGGTATTAAAGTTTACTTAATAATCTGAGAAATACCACCAAATTTAGTCTCAGATCAACATTTATTAACCATTTTTCTAATAAAGTAGAAAGGGATTGTATAGGGATTTCTTTTACTTATGTATTAATCACATTATTGTATGATGCCTTGGTGCCACTGGATTTATCATGTTCCACACCCATACTGTAAGACAGATGGTGGGGGTGCAGTAAGGAAGTTGGGGGAAGCAGACAGCTCCACAGGAAGAGTCTTTTGTCTCTTCGAGGACTCTGGGAGGTAGCTAGGAAGTGTGAACCTTAATGTGTGAAACAGCTGTGTGTAGTGCCTTTTGTTCCTGGAGAAGGTATTTAACTGAGAGCCATGCTAAGCTCAGCGAGACTCTGCTGACCTGCCCCGCGGTCATGTAGGCTCTCCATCAAGCTTGTTTGTCTGTTCTTTGTGTGTTTTGATTAAAGAATGTTAGCTACCGCTCACCGCTCGTCTGCAGGCTTTATTTAAATGGAAAACTTCCACAACAGAACATACAGCACATATACAACAATACAGACCACTGGTAAACTGTTGTCTGTTGCATATATTAGGCTTGGCATACCTGGTATGAGAGTAGAGGTCAAAGGCTGTACTATATAACCTTGAATAGGATACTGCAGAGGAGAGTTAGGCGAAGCAAGCAGCAGTCTGGATAGTTCAGACACCATCCTGATGAAGAGATGAAATGTGGGTAGATATAGAAACAGGTATCACCTTTTTACTACAGACTGCACGACTGCACCAAGCAAAGCAACTCTTCTGTTGAAGTGCAACACATTCTCACTCCCAAAGTGTAATATTTAATGCTAGGTGACAAATCATCAACATATTACCCTTCCGGGTGTAACAGTGTTTATGTGGTATTATTCCACTTGCCACAAATGTCAGCGTAATGAGAAAACAGCCCCCCATTACTTTTCATTTGTTTATTATTGTGTAAAACTGTATGCTAATGGGATGTTCTGCCGTAGTGTGCTGTGGGGAGTGGTGTGTGGCGAGCCCTTTGCACTAATAATAATAATAATAATAATAATAATAATAATAATAATAATAATAATAATTGATTGCATTTATATAGCGCTTTTCAAGACCCTCAAAGCGCTTTACAATTCCACTATTCATTCACACACTGGTGGAGGCAGCT